GCAAGGGAATGGGAGTGTGCAAGGGAATGGGAGTGTGCAAAGGAATGGGGATGTGCAAGGGAATGGGGATGGGCAAGGGAATGGGGATGGGCAAGGGAATGGGGATGTGCCAGGGAATGGGAGTGTGCAAAGGCAGGGGACTGTGCAAGGGAATGGGAGTGTGCAAGGGAATGGGGATGGGCAAGGGAATGGGGATGGGCAAGGGAATGGGGATGTGCCAGGGAATGGGAGTGTGCAAAGGCAGGGGACTGTGCAAGGGAATGGGGATGGGCAAGGGAATGGGGATGTGCCAGGGAATGGGAGTGTGCAAAGGCAGGGGACTGTGCAAGGGAATGGGGATGGGCAAGGGAATGGGGATGTGCAAGGGAATGGGGATGGGCAAGGGAATGGGTGTGTGCAAGGGAATGGGTGTGTGCAAGGGAATGGGAGTGTGCAAGGGAATGGGAGTGTGCAAAGACAGGGGAATGTGCAAGGGAACGGGGATGTGCCAGGGAATGGGGATGGGCAAGGGAACAGGGATGGGCAAGAGAATGGGAGTGTGCCAGGGAACGGGGATGGGCAAGGGAATGGGAGTGTGCAAGGGAATAATGGGGATGGGCAAGGGAATAATGGGGATGGGCAAGGGAATAATGGGGATGGGCAAGGGAACGGGGATGGGCAAGGGAATGGGGATGGGCAAGGGAATGGGAGCGTGCCAGGGAATGGGAGTGTGCAAAGGAATGGGGATGTGCCAGGGAATGGGAGTGTGCCAGGGAATGGGGATGTGCAAAGACAGGGGAGTGTGCACGGGCATGGAGACACAGGAGCGTGCAAAGGCACAGGGACACAAGGATGTGCAAGGTCAGGGAAGTGCCCAAAGGCACGAGAACAGGGGAGGGGACAGGGGCACACACGGGGACAGGGACACACACGGGGACAGGGGCACACACGGGGACAGGGACCTGGATGGCAGCTGCATCCCCGTGTCCCCGCAGGAGCTGCCTGGCTGCCCGAGACCCCTATTGTGTCTGGCTGCCCTCCAGGGGCTGCGTCCCCTTCTCCGAGGACCTTCCGTGAGTGTCCCTCCCACCCCCGGGCTCCTGGGGCCCTGCCCCGTGTGGGGACACGCTGGGGACAGAGGGTGATGTCCCCTCTGTGTCCCAGGAGTGGCTTCCAGCAGGACGTGGAGGGATCCCTGGGGATCAGCGGGACCTGCCAAGGTGAAGTGGGGGAACAGGGGGGACACTGGGAATGTTTGGGGATTTCTGGAGACACGAGGTCACGGGGGGATGCCACCACGGTGACACTGGGGTGGCTCTGGCACACATGATGCCAGAAGATGGGGAGGACGTGGAGGGGACAGGGGTGGCTCCAAGGGACACGGGGGGGCCTGGCCTGACCCTGCTGTGCTGTCACAGGGGCTGCAGAGGACAATGACGAGGATGGAGACCTGGCCCACGGTCAGTGACGTTGTCTGAGTGCCCTGGGGAGCAGGGAGGGGTGTCCCGGGGGGGCAGGGGCACCCCAGGGTTTGGGGAGGGGGGCACCCAGGACTGGGGAGGGACTGCGGTGTCTCAGACACAGGTATGAGACCCCCAGGGACAGGAGAGAGACCCCAGGGGTGGGATAAAGATCCCAAGGGTGGAAGAGGGACCCCAAGGAAGGGGAAGGACCCTGGGGTGGGGGGACCTCAGTGACCAGGAGGGACCCCAGGAAGAGGAGAGGGATGAGGGGGGACCATCGGGACCCCAGCGACGGGAGGGGGAACCCCAGGAGTGTCAGCGGGACCGGGGGGGGGGGTTATCGGCCCTCCCGTTGTCGCCGGGCTGACGGGTGGTCCCGCAGGGGTGCGGCACCCGGGCCCGGAGGCCGAATCGGCGGTGCCGGTGCCGGTGCTGGTGGGCTGCGTGCTGGGCGCCTTCGCCCTGGGAGCCCTGGCCACCGGGCTGGCGGCCACCTGCTGCCAGCGCCCCGCCGTCCCCAAAGCCCCCCCGGAGCCGCCCTGCGCCCCTCGGACCCCGACCCAAACTCCCGTCCCCCGCCTGTACCCCGCGCTGCCGCCGCGGGACCCCCCCGAGCCCGAGCCCCCCGCGCTGCCCCCGGCCCGCGCACCCCGGGACCGGGAGCCCCGGAGCCCCCCGGGCCGGGACCACCGGGCAGGGCTGCCCGGGAGGAGATGCCGCAGCGGCCGCCCGGGGGCTCGGGGTGGCCCGTGAGCCCCCCGGGCAGCGGCTCCTTTACCAACCGGGTGCTGCCGCGCTCCGCGGGTCCCGGACCCCCCTTCGGCCCCCACGACCGGGCTCCGGTGCGCCTGGATGTGCCCCCCGACAGCCCCCCGGCCCCGCGGCGGCCGCTGGCACAGAGCCGCTCGCTGGGGGGGACCCCCGTGAGCCCCCCCGGGCCGCCGCGGGGCCTCACCCGCATGCACTCGTTGGGGACACCGGGGGGGACAGCCTGGGGACCCCGGCCCGGCGCCCTGGAGCGCTCCCTGTCCATGAAGCCCCCCGTGCTCCCCAAGCCGCTGCTGCTGCCCGCGGCCCCGGGGCGGCACTGAGACCCCCCCGGGACACCCCAACTGCAGCCGGGGGACCCCGAGCTGTCACCGTCCCCCTGCTCTCTGTCCCCATGTCACCAGGACAGCCCCCAGCAGGGTGACAGGGATCCCCGTGTCCCCACCTTGCGGTGACAAGGTCTCCGTGTCTCCCATCCCCCTGGTTTTGCTTTTTTAAAAAATCCTTTCTAATTTATTTTCTGTTCGGCGGGGGGATGGGAGTTGCTGTCACCCCCCTTTTGGGGACACCAGGAAGGGGGACACACGGCCCAGCCCATCCTACTGTGTAGGACCAGGGCTGGGCCGGGGCACTGCAACAGTGGCACAGGATTTTAATAAAAAATACACAGCAAAAAACGAGCCTGAATGTTGAAATTTCTGCATTCCAAAGCGTTTTCGTTGGTAGAAAAGCGGGGGCAAGCCTTTGTGTTCTTGTCCCAGCACTCAGGGAATCTATCCCCGGTTTCTTCAGTTTATCAAAACAACGTGATAAAAATCCAAATTCATCAAATTTGCCCCAAGGGAGGGGATGGGGGTGGAAGGGAGGCTGCCCGACCCCCCAGCTCTGTGCTCCCCCTTCCTGGGCGTCCCAGCAGGATTTGGCATAAACCGCTCACAGTCCCTGCAGACAGGAGGGAAACACGTGTCCAATTAACCCCAAAGCGTGCTAATTAACCCCAGAGTGTGCTGATGAGAGGCAGGGCAGGGAAGGGCGCGGGCAGGAAAAGCCCTGACGCGGCACAGCGCGGCCTGGCCTCCCGTGGGAGGGAATTTACTGACCCAAAAAATGCTGCTTTTGGCTTAAAAAGCTCCTTGGTGTTTTTCTGTGCAAGAGGTGGGTTGGGATTCCAGGCAGAGATCAAATCATCCTCAGTTTTGGTCGGCTTTGGTGCACGGATACTTCCAGAAATTAAACCAGGGGATTCCCCTCCAAAAGGTGACAACATCCTCAGCTTTATTTCCTCCAAAAATAACCCAAACATGGGAACTGTCCCACGAGCCCCATGGACTTTTTATTTTTCATTTCCTCTTCCAAATGAGAAGGTTTTTCCCCAGCTGAAGGGATTTTTTTTTTTTTTTTTTTGCAAAATCACCTGTTTTGGGGAGAAGGATGGCAAGAACTGAGGGTGGCAGTGGGGAAGGCACAATACACATCAGCTGCATGTTAAAAATAGAAATTTTAGTTTCAGAAAGTGACATTTGTATCTCCAAAGACAAGCAGACTCCCAGGCTGCCATGCCTGGATTTCCATGTGCCACCAGTTTACTGGCCAGTCTGGGAAGTAAAATATTTGCCTAAATATTGTAAAACCAAGGATTTTTTTTTATTTTGGGTGTTTTGATGAAAAACTCCCTCAAATTCTTCCTGAAACAAACAGGTGAAGGGTGCATTTCCCTGAGAGTGTCAGATGCTCCATGTGACAAACATTTGACGTTGCCTGAATCCAAAAATTAACAATTTTGGAAGAAGAAATTCATGGATAAAAGGGAAAAAATCCCTTCCACACCTCTGCAAATATTTAAAGCAACACACCAAGAGAATATTTTTGTTGCCATTCCAGATCTGGTCCCTGGGATTTGCAGGTCCTTGCACAAGGTCTGGAATTCCCAGGCAGCTCAGCACTAATCCAGCTGCTTTGGCACAGTGGGATTTCTTCCCATTCCCAACAATGCAGGTATTGACATCCCAGAATAAGCCTGGATCACCTGGCTGGGTGGAATTTTGGGGAAAAGCTTCGGATCTCTGCAGGTCAAGGTTTCAAAGCACTTTGTGACACGGAAGGAAGTGGACACCTCTGGATTTAACCAAAAAGAGAGGAAAAGAAGGAATTTTGCTTTCCAAATGCCAGGATCAGGAGGTGACAGTGTCATCAGGTGATCCAGGCTGGTGGGTGTTCCCACAGCACGTGGGGAAATGTGGGAAGGTAGGTGAGATCCCACCTGGATGAATTTCAAAGGCTGGAAAGGGGTGGAACCAAGGTGCAAAAAAAAATAAAAGTTAGCAGTGATGAAAAGTTGGGAGGGAAATGAGAAAAACATTTTTCCTCCTCAAAGAGGGATGAGGAGCCATTCCTGCTTTATTGCTGAGAGCTGGGTTATGCCCAGCTCCTACTGGGAATCCTAAATCATCCCAGCAAAAGCTCCAGGTTTGTCACAGAGCCCACCAGGAGTATCCACCTTGTGTTCCTTGGAGTCATCCCCTCTTCGTTCCACTCCTTGCCTCTTAGGAGGAGGCAATTCCAAATCTGAAATTATTCAAGTGTTTCACCCCAGTGGGGCTGGCAGAATCCAAAGTCAAACATTTTCATCTTAAAAAGAACCACGTGAGGAAAAGTAAAAAGTATAATTTTGATGCCTCACTAATGGAACTTCCAGCCCAGACGGGGTGAAGGAGAGGAACAGAAAGCTCTCCTGGATAATTCCTGTCTCTAAGCTCCCAAGCAGCTTTAAGCACATGCAAGAGCTGCAAATTTCCAGAGAATAAATATTTTAAATCTGTAAACATGAGTTTTTGCTTTGGGAAGGCAGAGTTTGGCCAAGCAGGGAGGAAAAAGCTCATGTGAGTGACTGAAGGTAGCACCACCTAAACAGTTCCCCCTTTGTCTTCCTGGTGGGTCCCAAGCCAGGAATGATTTGTAGTAATTTGGCAAATAATTCAGAATAATTAACAGCTTTAGAAAATTGTTTTTCAGCAGGGCAAGTCTGTAAACAGACAGAACTGATGTAACCCGTCTCGGTGCACGCATTAAGGAGCTGCTCTGCTTCCTAATCCTCTTTTCCTGCCCCGAAGTTAATCCAAATAATCAAGTATCCCTGGGACACGCTGGAAGAATTGGCGGTAGTAGGCAAGGCTGGGGAATGACATCCCTTGAGGAAACAAAGCAGAGCTCTGGAGCTGTGCCCTGCTTTGCTGAACACCATTTGTGTCTGTCTCATAAAATAACGAGATTACAGTGCCCCGGACAGTTTGATGGCAGGACAGGGTGGACTGAGGCTGATATTAATGGGACACTATGAAGTTTTAGATAAATGATGGAGTAACAGGTTGGGGTTTCATGGGTTGGATGATTTATTCCCAGACTGGGACGTTCCCCACAGGATAAAGGAACAGCCTCTGCCAAAGAGACAACGGCCAACTTGGCATTTCTCCTCCTGAGGGCGTTGGGTTTCCAGGAAAAACCCAAAATATTCCAGCGTGGTTTAAGTGGCGCCAACAGACGCCCCACGGACACTCAGCCCCCAGACCCCACGAGTTCCACAGGAGCTGGAATGTTTCCTTCTGGAATTAAACCTGGCTGCTCCTCACCTTGCTCCCCTGGCAGGGACAGGGGGCTCTGGGGACAGTGACAGGAGCTGGGATGTTTCCTTCTGGAATTAAACCTGGCTGCTCCTCACCTTGTGCCCACCTTGATCCTCCTGGCTTTGGGGACAGTGGCACTCAGGAGCTGGAATGTTTCCTTCTGGAATTGAACCTGGCTGCTCCTCACCTTGTGCCCACCCTGCTCCTCTTGGCTTTGGGGACAGGTGGCTCTGGGGACAGTGACAGGAGCTGGAATGTTTCCTTCTGGAATTGAACCTGGCTGCTCCTCACCTTGCTGCTCCTAGCAGGGACAGGACACATGGCTCTGGGGACAGTGACAGGAGCTGGAATGTTTCCTTCTGGAATTGAACCTGGCTGCTCCTCCTCTTTTGTCCACCTTGATCCTCCTGGCTTTGGGGACAGTGGCACTCAGGAGCTGGAATGTTTCCTTCTGGAATTAAACCTGGCTGCTCCTCACCTTGCTGCTCCTGGCAGGGACAGGTGGCCCTGGGGACAGTGGCACTCGGGTGGCACAATGCACAGCTCCTGCTTCCACCACTTCCTCCCTCTTACCTTGGAAAATAAAGCAAAGAGCAGAGAAAAGAGTCAGGGTTTCCTTCTCTCTTCCTTGAATACAAACTGAAGGGGAAAGGCTGGAGTGCGTGGCTTGAGACTCCTGGGATTGTGGAAAACAATGTGGGAATACAGTAGGTTTTAAAAGAAAGAAAACAACACCACTACAGCTCAGCAAAACAAAAGTTTCAGGGTAAACCCAGCGTAGCTGCAAGGTCCAAACAACCTCCAAGACCATCGAGTCCATTTGGAGGCTGGATTGATGATCCTGGAGGGCTTTTCCAGCCTTAATAATTTGATTTTGTGCACATTAATGAAGATCAGCACACCAATGAGAAGCTCTGGAACTGGAGGCAGCAGTTTAGCAGCCCTGGCTCTGCACAGCTTCCTTCCCTGCCCCTTCCCTTGGCTGCATCCTGCTCCCAGAGCAGGAAACTGGGACCTGACCTGTGCTGGGTGCCAGAGAGGAAAACACTTGAGCACCACGGGTCAACAAATCAGGGCTGTGGCACCAGCAGCTTCAAGAATTTAAATTACTTGTACTCTAGAAAAAAAAATAAAAAATGCTTAGCTTTGGGGAAGAGAACGGAATTGAGAAGTGAGGGGATGAGATAAACTTCCACTTTATCAAATTCCTAAATCCAAAGTTAATTAAAGGTCAAACACCATAAAAGATGATTTTGAAAAACAACACAAACCTTTCTGTAAGGAGTTGTCAGAGCCTCAACGTGGGGACAGGAAACATTTGAGATAATTTCACTCTGAACTATTTACCCAGGTTTGTATGTTCCAGTCAATCCATTTCTGCAGCAGGTTTTATTATTTATTTTTTTTTAAATAACTGTTAGAGCACATCAAGGGCTGCATATGGCAACATCAGCCATGGTGGTTCATTTAAAATTGAATAAAAATTAAGTTATTTCTATTGGTATCCATCAGCGTTTCTTTAATGAAGTTTGAACTGGGATTAAATCAATAAATCACCCAAAAAGCAGCTCACTGCAATGGGATATTGACTGAAATGAGATAAACAAGCCTTCTCAGCCCCAAAAACAATGTTTCTTCCTGCAATTGACCATAGTAGCTGCTATTCAATGCAGACTCCGTAAGAATGGGGCAGGAAATTACCGAAATGGGCGCAAGCTCAGTGCAGAGAACCCACAATTCCTCCTTAAAAGGGACAAAAAGAGATCCTGTTCCTCCTAGATCAACAGATTATAGGCACACAGAGGGAAGGTCACCTAAAGTTCTTCTCGTTTAACCCTTGCAATTTGGTTTTTTTCTCTCTTCTTTTACCTGATTTAGCAAGTTGATCAGGTTTGTTTCGTAGAATACTTGGGCTGGCAGGTGAAAACAGCCCAAGCCTGGAGTTTTCAGCACCTTGTCAGCAGATTCCCCTTTAGCCCAGCTAAAGATCCTTGTTGCCATTTAAAAAACAAGGAGAGAGACGAGAAAAGTCTTTATCTGGAAGTGTTAAATTAAATGGTTCTGTTACAATTAAAGCGAGGTTGCTGATGCCACCTCGTGGGAAATGCAAAATTCACCTCTCAGAGCCTTTCCTGAGCCCTTTCTGGGTGGGAATGTCAAGATCTGGGATTTCAAAAGCACTCTCTGATTACTAAGCAAACATTCACCCAGGTGAACGGTCCTGGTTAACCAAAGAATTACTCACATGCAGAAGTGTTTGCAGGATGAGGCCAAAAAGCTCCCCAAAACTTTTCAGTAGCCTCAAGACTGCAGAGAAGCAGCAGTTCGGGTTTCCCCAAACGGACTTGATGAGTTATTAGAAAAATTGTGATTACTCAAAAAGAATTTGCACTTAGAACCAAGTCAAATGGGTTTTCCCAGCCAAAATAAGGTTCAAGGAACAACGGGAAACCTCTTTTATTTCCATCTAATATGGCATAGAATAAATAAGGAGCAACCTACACATCCCTTAGACCTGCTTATCCAGGAATTTCCTTACTCAGTGTTTACACAAAGCCAAGCACTCAACGCTGGCGGTAAAGAGCAAAGCAAACAGCTCCACTCTCGGGATTTGGCACAGGCAGGAATTCTCATTATTCCTCTGTTTCAATCAGCCAAATCTATTTTCTCCAGACCCGGAGCAGGCCCACGAGTAGCCACTCACACTGGAACCACCTTTATTTACTCCAGGGCTGGGATCCTCCTCCCTCACCTCGCCTGGTGAAAACATTCAGGGGCAGGAAGCAGTTTGGGCGTGTTTGGCCACATTTCAGCACTTTTACTTTCCTAAATACCCATCTGCCCTCTACTGGAGAGCAATCTTAGAGGTTTTTTCGCCAAGGTTTTCACGCGCGAGGTCCCCTACCCTTACTTCAGGTGGTTTTGGTGTTTGCTGAAGGGAAGAGATTGAGAACTTGCCTCAGTGTAAGAACGAAGGGATGTTTGTGGTGGGATTTGTTCTCTGGGTGAGCATCCACCACACGGGGGTCCCCCCCCTCCTCAGATCCTCAAGATCGCCCCTCTCAGAGGGTCCCCCAGCCCATTCCCTCACTGGGAGCCCTCTGAACTCCTCACGGGGGTCCCCAAAGCCCCTCACAGCTGTCCCCCATCCTCAGACCCTCAAGATCACAGCCCTTCCCCTCACGGGGGTCCCCAAAGTCCCTCATGGGTGTCCCCATCATCACACCCTCAAGATCGCCCCTCTCAGAGGTTCCTCACTCACTGGGAGCCCTCTGAACCCCTCACGGGTGTCCGCCATCCTCAGACCCCCAAGATCGCAGCCTTTCCCCTCACGGGCGTCCCCAAAGCCCCTCACGGCTGTCCCGAAAGCCCCAGCGACCCCGGCACCGCTGACAGCGCTCGGCCCCGCCCGGGCCCGCGCCTGCCCCGCCGCGGCCTCACAAAATGGCGGCGCCAGCGAGCCCGTGAGGCGGCGGAAGGATATAGCACTTGAGGCTAAAGAGTCCTCTGAGGAGGCGCAGAAAGATCGGGCTGGGCCAGCCCTCGCTCTCAGCGGGAACTGTGGGGAATGCGGGGATTTCTCCTTCTTTTCTCAGTTGTCCTCCCCGCCCTGGGGCTGTCGGGAGAGGGCTGGCAGGGGAGGGTTTTCCTCTGGCGGAAGGATATCAATCAGTAGGGTTGGGCGAGTCGTGATGGGTTCCTGGAGTTAGGTCCGGCAGAGGCGTTTTTGCGCCAAGTATAAAATGGCGGCGGCGCCGCGCTGAGGCGGGGTGGTTTAGATGTGCTTTGGAACGTTGAGAATGGGGATTTGTAAATATATCTGTATTTATATGTGTGTATTTCTGCAGTTTGAGTATACCTGTCCCCTCTGAGCGCCTTCCAGTCCAGGATTTAGCTCCCCTCAGGCTGCCACACCCCCCTGTTCAAGGTGTGTTACCCCTGACTTGCCCAAAATGTCCTTTTTTATGAGGTAAAATTGGAGCTCTGGGGGCTTATTTCTTCTCTGGGGTGTTTTCCTGTGAGGCTTGGAAAAGCTGAAGTGTAAAAAATAGCTTTAATGTGCTTATAATAATGGTTTAGGCTTAGTTTTTCCACGCTTAAGTCTTCCACAGCATGTGCAAAGACGTTAAGGGGGAATTCTCAGCTCACCGTAAAGAGATTTGAGACATTTTAATGCCTAAAAACTTGATGTCAGTCTGCATGTCCAGAGGAATGTGTATGTTTTGTACTGATTTTATTTAAAGTTTCATAATAAATACTTCTGCAGGTTTTCCTAGCTGGGAACACAGAAGTCAAAACAGCTCTGCAGAGGAGAGTTTACATTTTTCATCTCTGGTTTTACACAGATGGTTCAAAAAAGCACACTTGATTATTTCTGCAGATTACAGGAGAGCTGCATCCAATTTTCATAGTAGAATGCAGATTTTTGCAATTTTTTTTGCCTATTCCTGGCACTTTTTAAGTGCTGCCCCGGCCTGCCCCCAGCCTCATGCCCCCCAACTCTCAGGATGGTTTTGGGATGCTCCACATCACTTCATCCCCATCAAACCCAAAAAAAAACACATTCAAGAAGACAAATCAATCCCAGAAAACAATATTGGAAAGGGGAAAAAAAAACCCCAACCTGTTTAAAAGCCAAAAATTATTCCAGGTTGGGATTTTCCCCTCATTTTGAGATGATGCTCAGAAATAAACCTCAGCAGGTGAGAATCTCCCCAGAGAAAACTCAAGGCTTCCACTTGAATGAATGCAGCATTTTTTTGTTGTTATTTTTAAAGGGTTAAGTGGGTGGAAAACCTGAAATATTTTCATCTGGGGGTAAGATCCACCTTTCAGCTCTGCCCCATCACCCTTCCAGACCCCACAATGTACCCAGCATCTGTCCCAGCACTGGGAATAAACCATGTGGGGCATAAAAAAAGGATGAAAAAAATCAAATTTGGGGGCACTAAACACCCAGCCTTGACCCCACTAAGCAAGGACAGAACATCTCCGTGTCTATTTACCCTCCTGGACATAATTTTTTCTGCTTGGGCTCACACCACAAGGCTCAAAATGATTCTTTTTTTCTCAAGAAAAAGGTTTCTGCTGCTACCTTGGGCACATCCCTGCCTCTTCCACCTTGCATTCCCGAGGGGAAGGTTGAGGGACGAAGCAGAATTTTGAGAAATTGGGCCAGGGGAGCGCGGAGGGTCGACGCTTTCTGCAAAACCAGGGCGATTCCCATTGCTCCTCGTTTGCACAAACGAGTTTCTCCCAAACCCTCTGGGAATGGAGGGGGGCAATGGGGGGGCTTTTTCTGCCCCCTCCTCTCGTGTTGTTACCGGCACCGTCGTGATTCCAGGAGGAGAAGGGAGAGAGGATTTGGAGATTTTTGGGGAGCCCATCACCATCAAAGCCGCGGTGAGCTGCTGAGCGAACGAACAGCGGCAAAACCGCCCAGAAACCAAAAAAAAAACCCAAAAAAACCCCAACCCAACAACCTCCAAAGCGACAACAAAACCAAATCCTGGCATGCCTGGCGAGAAGAGAGAGAGCAGGGGGGGCTGAGGAGGAGCAGGGAGGGCTTCAAATTAAATCGAAATCTAAGGAGCTGATGCTGGCGATGGGAGCTCGCCAGAAATTAAAGCTGTTGAACTGCAGCAGACTGACTTCTTCTTCTTCTTCTTGGGAGAGCTCCTGGCTGCCTCGGTGGTCGCTGAGCTTGCCCAGCCCTCCTTTGGGCTTGTAGAGGGCCATGTCTGCCAGCCCCAGCCCCTCCAGCTCGGCCATGTCCAGCCGTGGGATCGGCATCCTCCAGTAGATGAAGGAGTCGTACTGGCTGCTGATGGTGTCCAGCATTTTCAGGCTGTGAAGGGCACAAGGGGGGAAAGGAAAGGAAGAGAAAAACACAGGAGTTGCCCCAAAGTGGCTAGAAATTTCAGGTGTAGCCGTGTTGGCCCTGTCCTGTAGGATAATCCTTAAAAAGGGGGTATTATTTTCAGGATAGCCCCCTAAAAATGGGATATCGTTTTTAGGATAACCCCCTAAAAATGGGATATTGTTTTTAGGATAACCCCCTAAAAATGGGATATCGTTTTTAGCATAAACCCCTAAAAATTTGGTATCCTCTTTAGGATAATCCCCTAAAAAGAGGATATTCTTTTTAAGATAACCTCCTAAAAAGGGATATTCTTTTTAGGATAACCCCCTAAAAAGGGATATTCTTTTTAGGATAACCCCCTAAAAAGGGGATATTCTTTTTAAGATAACACCCTAAAAATGAGCTACCCTTTTTAGCATAACCCCCTAAAAAAAGGATATCCTAAAGGATATCCTTTCTAGGATAATCCCTGAAAAAGGTGATATCCTTTTTAGCATAACCCCCTAAAAAGGGGATACCCTTTTTAGGATAAAAATGGGATATCCTTTTTAGCATAAACCCCTACAAAGGGGATATCCTCTTTAGGACAATCCCCTAAAAAGGGGATACTCTTTTTAGGATAAAAGTGAGATATCCTTTTTAGGATAATCCCCTAAAAATGAGTTGATGGTGGAGGAGAGCAGGGGGTTGTGGAGGTTTGACTCCAGGCTGGGTCTAAGTGCAGGCTCGAGCTCTGCCAGGGTTTTATCCACACCCTTCTCTAACTCGGAGGGGGCCCAAGGGACTCCTCTCGCCGTGCCTCAGTTTCCCCAAACAAACAGCATGGGAGGGGAGGGCAGGGTGGGGATTAACCCCTTCCCATCTGCTCCTCCTGAAATCCCTCCTGCCAGCTCGGAGAGCAGCACCCAAAGGAACTTTTTCCCCACGGAACGGGCACTGAGGGGGGGTCCCTGTGCAGCCCCCTCCTCCTGATCCCACCCCATCCCTCCCTCCCCTGACCGAACCCTCTAGAAAGGGCTGGAAGGAGCCTCGCCCCGCGTTCCCACCACACCCCACCCATCCCTGCCGTGCCATCCATCCCTCCCCGCTGCAGAATTCCCCCTGCAGCCCCACCCCATCCTCCAAAAAATTGGGAAGGAGCAGGACGAGACGTGGATCAGCTTCGCGATGGAGCTGAGTCACTGCCTGGCGTCTCCCTGGCAGGGTTATGTCATTCCCTCGATTGGAGAGGGGAAAAAAAAAAAGCAGACTAACCCAAAACATCCTCATTTTCCTGCTGATTTTCCCTGTCTTAAATGAGAATTCTCAAGGATGATTCAGGCGTATTTTGGATCTGTGCGATCAGCTGCTAAATTTAAGGTTCTGGATGTCACTCAGAGGCTATGAAAGGCTCCTGTGTCACCCCCTCTGGGTAAACTGAGCCACAGGACTTTTAAAATAGTCTCTTCCCTGGGAATTTATCCCTGGGGGGTCCATCCCTAGGGATGTATCCCTGAGTTTTTGGCAGCACAGCGGCAGAGAATTATTAATGGTGATTAGGTGTTGCGGCCATGGATTTTTAAGCTCCAAATGGTGAAAAATTGGAGTTTAGTGACAAAAGAGGGGAAAAGAGAATTTAGTGACAAGTAAAATAATCAAATATCCAGTAAAAGAGAATGAATACGGGGGGGGAAAACTCCTCTTTTGTGGCGTGTCACCCCTAAAAAAGAGCATTTCCCACTCTGCTCATCCCATGGAAGCAAAACCACCTTTCTCCACTCAAACCCCCGCCGCCTGCGGCTCATTCCCCCTCCTCAAAAAGCAACTCCAGCACCCCCCTCCACCCAAACCGTGGAATAAAAAGCATCCTCTGGCCGAGCATCCTGGCCGGCTGGCATCCCTTACCTGCGGGCGGTGCCGGGAGCGGTGAGCTCGGAGCGGGCCGGGCTCTTTGTGCCGGGGAGCCGCGGGCGGAGCAGCGTCGCTTTTGTCTGCCGGCTCTGCAATGCAGCCCCTCCAACTGCCCTTCCTCCTGCGGGGAGGATGGTGATGGTGATGATGGTGATGATGGCAGATGAGTCAGCGGCTCCCACCCGCGCCGGGGAGGGAGGGGAGGGCGGCAAGGGCGGAGGCGCGGGGGGGGATCCTGCGCGTTGGACCCCCAAGCTGAGGATGTATTGAAGCTGGTTCACTCCTGAAGCCTTCAGCTGCGTGCTGGGGAGAATAATTTTCAGCCAGCAAGGAGCTGGGGAATATTTCTTTTTACCTGCATGTGAAGATGTGGGGTGCTGTGGTACCCCCAGACTTTGGGAGAGCATTGTGCAGGGAAATTTGGCTCAAAGAAACCCCCAAAAATTTTTATATATTTATCTATCTATCTATCTATCTATCTATCTATCTATCTATCTATCTATCTATCATCTATCTATCTATCCATCTATCTATCTATCTATATATATATATATTTTTTTTTCAGTCTGAGATTGAAGGTATTTGGTCCTAAGGCCACACGGCAAAAATATCCCAGATGTGGAACTAGACGTAGAGGGAGACACCCAAAACTGGCATCAGTCACTGCCAGGGCTCAGGGGGGGCTTCACCCAGCTTGGGGGCACCTCCCACCCCACTTTTCCCCAAAATCTGATGCTCGGTGTTGGAGGGGCAGCAAAGAAAACCCCGATGCAACCCCTCAGACCAGGAAATCTCCCTGCCCCAGCGCCACTGAGACCCCAAACACCCTTTTTTGGGGACACAGGCCACATCATGCACCTGAGAGGCTGAAGGCAGCCCTTGTCCTCCTCTCCCTGAGATCAACATTCTTTTGGTGCTTTAGGTTTTGGGTTTTTTTTCTTTATTTTCCTCCCTGTTCCCTCCGTGCAGCTCATTCCTGATGGTGCCAAGCTGTTCTGCCAGTGCTCGGCTTTCAGCCAGACTATTTCTGCCTCCTCCTCCTCCTCCTCCTCCTCCTCCTCCTCCTCCTCCCAGCGCTGTCATGGGCAAAGAGGATCCCATGTTCCTGCTCCAAAATAGACCCTCGGTCTCAGCTGGGCCTTTGCAGCTCAGCAGAGGGAAAATTCCAGCTGGGAGCCCTTTGGAGGATGCTGATCCCTCCAAGGCGTTGAGCTGCTGTGGTTTTGGGGGTCCCCCAGGCCATGGGGTGCAGTTTGGCTGAGCAGCCTCATAAGAAGCTGAGTGTCACACGTCTCCTTGCTCTTTGGGGTGTCTGTCACCTCCTCACACGTGACAGATTGGGGTGTCCCTCTCTGAGAAGGGACCTGGGGCTGAACCCCCAGGGGACGGAGCAATGAGGGCACTGCTCTGGGTTTTGGGAGGGCAGCGAGGGGGACAGTGTCCTCTGGCAGCACAAACACCAAAAATTAAAAAAAAGGGCTCCTCAGCTGAAATGAGGTCACAAACACTTGGGGTATTATCAGCCAGGGCCACCCGATGGCTGGGGACAGGCGTGGGACAGAGACCCGACTGAGTGGGGACAGTGCTGCCTTGTTCAGCATTTCTGGAGTGGGAGCAGAGGGGATGGTTGGGGTTCGGGGGCTGACACAGGAAGGGACACTCAGGCTCACACGGGGGCGGTGGCAGTGGCAGGACAGTGGTGGTGACAGTGACAGGATTGTGGTGGTGACAGTGACAGGACTGTGGTAGTGACGGTGGCAGGGCTGTGATGGTGGCAACGGCAGGGCAGTGACGGCGGCAGTGGCAGCACTACAGTGGTGGCAGTGGCAGGACTATTTTGGTGGCAGTGGCAGGACTGTGGTGGTGACAGTGACAGGACTGCAGTGGTGGCAGTGGCAGGACTATGGTGGTGGCAGTGGCAGGACTGCAGTGGTGGCAGGGGCAGGACTGCAGTGGTGGCAGGGGCAGGACTGCAGTGGTGGCAGGGGCAGGACTGCAGTGGTGGCAGTGGCAGGACAGTGATGGTGGCAGTGGCAGGATTGTGGTGGTGGCAGTGACAGGACAGTGATGGTGAGAGTGGCAGGACTGCAGTGGTGGCAGTGACAGGACTATGGTGGTGGCAGTGGCAGGACTGTGATGGTGGCAGTGACAGGACTGCAGTGGTGGCAGTGGCAGGACAGTGATGGTGCCACCAGATGTTGTGCAAGCGGAAGGGCACCGAGCTGGAAGTGGTGACACCACCCAACGCCGGCTGCAGGGTGGCACGGGCGTTCCCACGCCTTTGGGTGCCCCACGGGCTCTGCTGTGTCCGTGGAAAAAGCGGGCACAAGGCTGGGGGGCAAATGGGAGCGTAACTGGGACCTGGCGGGGACCCCCACCCTACCTGCTCCCCTGGCATTCCCCCAGTGCTCCTGGAAACCCCAAATACCTCCACACCCAGCTGGGACCCCCAGCCTTAACAGGACCTCAAGTACCCCCAGTCCTTCTGGGACCCTGGAGACTCCCGTTCCTACCGGGACCACCATTCCTACCGGGACCATGGCCCCCTCATCTATGGGGACCCCTATTCTACCGGGACCCCTATTCCTACAGGGCCCCCCATTCCTACTGGGATCCCTATTCTACCGGGACCCCCATTCCTACCGGGACCCCCATTCCTACCAGGACCCTGGCCCGCCATCCCTACCGGGACCCCCATTCCTACCGGGCCCTCCATTCCTACCAGGACCCCATGTTCCCATTTCTACTGGGACCCCCATTCCTACCGGGACCCCAGCCCCCATTCCTACCAAGTCCCGGGGCCCCCCATTCCTACCGGGACCCCCATTCCTACAGGGACCCCGTGTTCCCATTCCTACCGGGATCCGTGTACCCATTCCTACCGGAACCCCTATTCCTACCGGGTCCCCTATTCCTACCAGGTCCCCATTCCTACCGGGATCCCCATTCCTACCGGGACCCCTATTCCTACCGGGACCCCTGTTCCTACCGGGACCCCTGTTCCTACCGTGACCCTGTGTTCCCATTCCTACCGAGACTCTCGAGCCCTAATTCCTTCCGGGACCCCGTCCCCCATTCCTACCGGGCCCCCATTCCTACCGGGCCCGGCCCCGCAGTGCCGGCGGTTCCCGGGGAGGGCGCTGTGCCGGGGCCGGGCCGGGCCGAGCCGCGCCGGGCGGCGGGAGCTGCGCCGCGTCCGCACCGGGCCACGCCTGGGGCTGCGAGCGGGGCACCGGCACCGGGACCCGCACCGGGACCAGGACCCCCGAGCCACGCTGGGCTGAGAGCGGGGCACCGGGACCGGCACCAGCACCGGGACCGGGGCTCGCACAGGGATCGGGACCTGCGCTCCCGGGCCACGCTTGGGGCCGCTGCGAGCCGGACACCGGCAGCGGGACCGGGACCTGGACTTCCGAGCCACGCGTGGGGCTGCGAGCCGGACACCGGCACCGGGACCCGCTCCGCGCCGGGACAGGTAATGGGGCCGCCACCGGGACGGGAACCGGCCGGTCCCGCGGGGTGCGACCCCGGGGAAGGGCCCCGGAACCGCCGTAGGATGGCGGAGAGAGCACCGGGATCGGCACCGGGATCGGCACCGGAGCGGGAGCGGGGCGGCGGGACGACCCCCCCCCTGCAGCTCGCTGGTTCAACCGGGGAGCCCTCCCGGGATCCGCCGGCTCTCCCCGGGACCACCGGGACCACCGGGCTCCAAGGCCTGCCGGCTCCCACCAACCCTACCGGGACCCCCGGGGTCCCAAACCCTGCTGGGACCCCCGAGCCGCCGGAGCCCCGCGGAGCAGCCGCTGCCCCGGGGGTCGCAGCCGGGCCCGTCCCTCGCAAAGGAAGTTCACCTCGCACTCCGCCGCCCAGCCCGGCGGTCCCGGGCACTGTCCCCCCGTCCACCGCTGTCCCCACGCTCTGTCCTTCCCTCCGAGCTTCGGGAGACCCCAGCGGGCGCCCTGCGAGCGGCTGAGCGCGGCGCTGGGGGGCTCGGAGCGGACCCCCCTGCCCGGAGCCCGCCGGTGACGCAGAGCCCAGCGGTGCTTTCCCAACCGGGAAGTCATTTTGCCTGTGCCGGCAGGCCCGGGCCCAAAGCCGCCCTGCCCGGGGCTACCGAGCTGGCCGGGTGGGCTGAGCCCGGCCACGGCTCATCGCAGGGGTGGCTGAGGGGTGGGCGGGGGGCGTGAGACCCCCAAAGCGGGGGTTTGGCCCGGCAAGAAACGCCCGGAGCCGGGCCGGCCCCGCCGTCGCCTTTTGGAGGACGTGAGGCCGTGGCGGGTGCCGGAGGGGCTTGGAGGGGCGCGGGCGGGGGTCGTGGCCGTGAGAACCCTGGTGGGTTCGCTGCCGGCTCGTCCTTGGCCGAGCTCCCCACGGAGGCTCCCCCGGTGCCCCGGCTGCAGTGCTGAGTTCGGGGGGCTCCTCCCCAGCGAGGCCCGGCCGCTGCTCTGCCGGATCCCAGCGCTGTCCGGGCCGTGTTTGCTGAGCAAATCGGGCTGGGAAGGAAAGGCTGCCCCCTCCTCATCTGCCCCGCAGCCCCCTCCTCATCCGCCCCGCAGCCCCCTCCTCATCCAGCCCGCATCCCCTTCCTCATCTGCCCTGCAGCCCCCTCCTCATCTGCCCCGCAGCCCCTTCCTCATCCACCCCGCAGCCTTCTCCTCCTCTGCCCCGCAGCCCCTTCCTCATCCACCCCGCAGCCCCCTCCTCATCTGCCCCGCAGCCCCCTCCTCATCCACCCGCAGCCGGGGGGCGAGGCCGGGTTTGTCAGGGGGGCACGGAGCCGGTGTGCACCGAGCGTGTCACAGCCTGCCCGTTCGCAGCGTCCGCGCTCCGGGAGGGGCTCGCCGGGGGAAGGGGACACGGCGGGGGACACGGGGGTCCTGTGGTTGTGGGGGGAGCAGCACAGGGGACACCCACCCCACGGGTTGCAGGGTGATTCCGGGGGTTTCCTGGCGACAGATCCTGGCCGGAGGCGCTGCCGCGGCCGTGCCCAGGCTGGGCTCGGAGCCCCCCGTTTTGGGGGGCTGCCCCGGGGCCCCGCTGCTCCGTGCCGGGAGCAGGAAGTGCGGCCGGACTTTGGTCCATCCGGCGGCACCGGCGCAGGGGCAGAGGAAGGAACTTGTGCTGTTTGCTCGGCACCCATCGGCCCGGGGCGCTCTCCCGTGGCCGATACCGGGCTGAGCGCTGCTTTTGCGGCAAAGGAGTCATCTCTCCTTAGCATGAGAAGCCCCATTTTGGGGGTGAACCCCCCCTTTGCACACCTCCTTGCCTACCCCAGGTGGTACCGTGGGAGTTTGGGATAAAATCCCAGCAGTCTCTGTTTATTTCTCCCCCGTCTGCTCTTCAGAAGCTGGAGCGGAAGAGCTCCAGCTCCGGCCCCTTTTCGGAAAGGCCGGGATATTTATAGCTGCCTGGCTCAGGGAGTTGGGATTTGCCATGCTGCCTCCATCCCCCCCATCCTGCCGCAGCATCCTTCAGCTGCGTCCTGCCCTGGAGCTGGGGACAAAGCCCAGCCGTGGCCGTGGGGACAACTCTGGGGGTCTCTGTTTGATACCCAGGGTCCCTGGGACGTCTCTGTCCGATCCCTGGGGGAATCTCCTTGCAATGCCAGGTGTCCCCTTGGACGCTCTGGGGTCTGCTGGGGCTCTCTGCCTTTTTTTGGATGCTAGGAAGTTGTTTTAGCGTTAATCTGGGGAGCTCAGGCCCGGAAGCATCGCTCTCCCTTCCCACTCACAGCCAGCTGCTCCTCTCCACGCTGTGCCACCCCGACCAGGTGTCCCCATGGAGTGACCCTGCCCAGGGGTCCCGGCAGCCGTGCCAGCACGGGGGGGACGCTGGCTGCCACCACCATGAGTGACTTCTGGCACAAGCTGGGCTGCTGCGTCGTGGAGAAGCCCCAGCCCGTGAGTACCCCCCACCCCGTGCAGCCATTTCGGGCAGGGCCGTGGGGGTCGGCGGGGGCTGACGGCCTTCATCCCCTTGCAGAAGAAGAGGAGGAGAAGGATCGACCGCTCCATGATTGGGGAGCCCATGAACTTCGTGCACCTGACGCACATCGGCTCCGGGGACATGGCTGCGGGAGAGGGGCTGCCCATGGTACCCTGGGGGCTGGGGGGGCCTGCCTGGGGGGCTGGGGCTCCCACCTGGGTGACAGGTGGTGCTTTTGGGGTGGCAGGTGTTGGTTTTGGGGTGGTGGAGTCTCACAGTTGGGTGCTGGGTGTTGTTTTGGGGTGCTGAGTGTTGTTTTGGGGTGCTGGGTCTCAGGGCTGGGTGCTGGGTGTTGTTTTGGGGTCCTGGGTGTTGTTTTGGGGGGCTGGATGTTGTTTTGGGGGGCTGGGTCTCAGGGCTGGCTGCCTGTGTTTTTTTGGGGTGCTGGGTATTGTTTTGGGGTGCTAGGTGTTGTTTTGGGGTGCTGGGTTGTTTTGGGGTGCGTGGTGTTGTTTTGGGGTGCTGGGTCTCAGTGCTGGGTGCTGGGTGTTGTTTTGGGGTGCCTGGTGTTGTTTTGGGGTGCTGGGTCTCAGGGCTGGCTGCCGGGTGTTTTTTTTGGGGTGCTGGCTGTTTTTAGGGGTGCCGGGTCTCCCGGCTGGGCGAGGGGGTGGCACAGGTGGGTGACAGGTCCTCTCTGCAGACTGGTGCTGTCCAGGAGATGAGGTCCAAGGGCGGCCGGGAGCGACAGTGGAGCAGCTCCCGCGTGTTGTAGCGTGTGAGTGGCACCCCCAGCGTCCCCTCCGAGCCACCTCTCCGAGGAACACCCGGCTGAGCCGCCGCCTGGGCCCTCCCACAACCCATCCTCTTGCATTTTGCAGATTCCTGGCTTTTTCAGCCCGAACTTGAACTGCCTGATCCCCCCCCGCTGGAGGAGAAGCCCACCTGGAGTGCTTGAACCCCGCGGTATTTATGCAGCGCCATCCTCACCCGGCTCCCGGTGACTTTGGGTCGTCATCCCTCTGGAAAATCCCTCCTTCCCGGAGGTCCTGGCTGGTGACGCGGGGAGGGAGCAGGGACAGCAGCCCCCATCTCCTGCCCCACCTGGAAAGGACACAGCCACCCCCTGAAACGTGCCAGGAGCTGCCAGGCGCAGCCCACGTGTCCCAAATCCTGCCAGTTTCCCCTTTTCCCGCTCCCGTGTCTCCCACGGGCTGCATGGTGGTGCCTCAGTTTCCCCAGGGAACCAGCCGTGGTGCAGAGGCAGCTTTGATGCCTCCCAGAACATCACAGAGGAGCAAAACCAGGATTAAGCCCTGATATTCTGGTGCCAAACCAGAGTTAAACCCGAGATGTTCTGGTGTCAAACCAGGAATCGATGTCAAGCTGGGATTAAACCCCAACTCCTTGGAGCAGAACCGGGATTAAACCCCGATGCTTCGGTGCCAAACCAGGATTCGATGTCAAACTGGGCTTAAAGCCCAATTCCTTGGAGCAGAACCGGGATTAAACCCCGATGCTTCGGTGCCAAACCAGGATCCAACCCCAAGGCTCGGCTGTCTCCGAGCCCACAGTGCCTCCAGCCGGCATTCCACCGCCGCCAGACTCCCACCTCCCCCCCTTTTTTTAGGATCTGTTCTTCTTTTTAAGCTCCAAAACCCACCTGAGCAGCCTCCATCTCCTCGGGCAGGACCGTGCTGGGGTCCCCTCCACCCGGGATTGTCCCCAGGCCGGACAGGGCCTGACCCGAGGAGGGCTCTGGAATTCAGGCGCGGGTGTACATAGTTTAATTAGCGCCAGGATTAAATATTAACTAGCACGTGCTGGCTGACAGAGCCTTTCCCCTGCCCTGTGCTCTGGTGGGAGCTGGGCTTTTCCAGCCCCTGTGTCGTGCTCGGGTCAGGGTTTTTGGGGAAAAAACATTCCACCCTTGAAATAAATGCCTCGTGCTGGCCCAAGGGGTGGGTGCACGAGCTGCCCCGGGCTCCTCGCTCCCTCCTCGGCTCCTGGAGCAGCCAAATCCACTGGGAAAAGCTGATATTCACAGCAGGCAGAGACCATGACTTTTTATGGCACAACCAGTTTCCTCCTGGCTGGGCTGGACTCGGGAGTGTGGCTGCACTGACACCCCCTCCTTGGACACCCCAAAATGTTCCTGTGACCCATTGTAGAGGGGATTGCACCCCAGGGAAAGAGGGGGTGCACCCCCAGCTCGAGTGGGGCAGCACCCCGTCCCAGAATAAAAGCCAAGAGCCAAAACTGGAAGAAAAGGGAGATTTAATCCTTGGAAAACGGTGACAGCTCTGGACGGCTGCATGTCCGGACCCACCCTCTGGGCCCCCCTCTGCCCCCCAAGGAAGGAAGAGCATCAAGAACTCCTTAACTCCCCCACCCCAACGCCTTCATTCAGGGGGTGCATCTCCTGCCCAGGGCACCCCCAAAAACCCACCCTGGGGACCACTGGGGCGGAGGGAGCCACTGGGGGGGACAAACCACGACGAGGACCAGGAGCTGAGCTCTAGCACAGGCAGCTGCAACCCCCCCCCACACCCAGGCACCCCACGGGGCCACACTCAGGGACCCCAACTTCTCATCCACACCTCAAAAAACCACCGGGGTGCCCGCTGCTATTTCGGGGAGCCGGGGGGCTGCCCCACGGCGATGCGGCTGACCCGCTCCAGGACATCCTGGGGACACAGCGGGGGCACGGCCTGCGCCAGGGGACACTCCTCCACCAGGCTGTTCATGGGGGTGGGCGGGGGCACCACCTCCTCCTCGGGACCCCCGGCAGCCCCCAGGCCCCCCAGCGCTGCCCGCAGGATGGGCAGCACCTTCTTACGAGCGGCCACGGCGTTGCCCTGGGCGTAGGCGGCCACGCGGGGCCAGGGGCTCGGCAGCGGCCGCAGCAGCAGCGCCGGCGACGTCGCCTCCTCCAGCGCCCGGCACAGCTGCAGGGGGGCGAGCAGCGAGGCTGGGACCTGCCCTGCGCCCCCAAAAATGGGAGGTTCCGTGGCAAAGCAGAGCCGGGGAGAGGCTGGCTCACCGTGCTGCGCAGGGCATCCTGCGCGCTGTAGACGGCGAGTTTCCGCGTGGGCTCGTGGCGCTCGTTGAAGGACACGGTCATGGCCACCAACCCCGCGTAGCCACGGGCCTGGCAGAAAGCCTCCAGCTCCTGCAGCAAGCCAGGCCGGAGCAGGAACGTCTGGACAAGAGGGGAGGGGTCTTGGCGTCACCGTGGTGTCCCCGGCGTGCCGCTCCCTGCCTCGGTTTCCCCCTCAGCCCCAAGTCTCACTTCCAGGTCCTCGAAGACGCCGCTGACGGCGACGACGGCCTCGTCGTTGGAGAGGACTTTGAGGTCCTTCCGCAGCATCTGCTCTGTCGTCAGCCCTGGGAGGTGGCCAGGGGATGAGGCCCGGGGCACCTTCCCGTCCCCAAGGAGAGGGGGACACGCTGGCACACACCTGTGACATCAAACTTGGCCGCCTGCAGGGCCCCGAACACGGCGTCGCGAGCCGGCAGCTCCGGGAACCTCTCCTCGAGCAGGGACACGCAGGCCACGTCCCTGGGCGTCACCTTGCCCGCGGCCGGGCTCAGGTTGATGCAGTCCAGCAGGATGGTGCCTGCGGGGACGAGCGGGGGCCGCGTTGTCACCTTGTCACCGGGGGCCAAGGCTGAGGCGGGACCCCCCCCCCCCGTGCTCACCGTGCAGCAGCGCGGCCGTGGTTCTGTCCAGCACGCCCGGGGGGCCCTGCAGGATCCGCTCGGTCACCAGCGTGGCGCAGGAGCCCACGGGCTCCACGGTCACCCGGCACGGGGGACCACGGTCCCGCTCCAGCGGCCGGTGGTCCAGGACCTCCACCACGGCCTCTTCCAGGGCAGCGTCAGCACTGGCGGGCAACGGGAAGGGTCACCCCCGGCAGAGCCCGCCAAACCCTCGTATTTCCTTTTTTCCCCCCCCTAAAAACTCGCCAGGAACGGATCGATGTCACCCACCCCGCGTGGTGGCCCTGGCTGTCCCCAACGTGCTCACCCGGGCAGGACGTGGTGATCGACCAGCGTCAGGGAGAGCAGCCCGGCCCGGTGCAGCCCCCCCAGGTCGATCTCGTCCCGAAAAAGCAGCGAGGCGGCCGGGATGCCCCGATCCCGCAGCAGGAACGTCGTCTCCGTCCGCAGCGCGAAGTCGGCGCGGGGGATGTTCAGCACCGGCACGAAGGCGGCTTTGGGAGCCGGGGTGGTCTGCAGCAGGGCGGGGGGGGGGGTCACACCCAGTGAGGCGTCCCCCCGAGGCCACCGGTGGTCACCGGGCTGGTGGCCGAGCCTCACCTGGGCGAGGAAATAGGCCAGGGCCAGCGCGGAGACGGTGGAGTCCAGGTCACAGGCCTCGTTGCCCATCACCACGTGGATCTCCTGCTGCTGCTGGGTGTGATCCTGCGGGGATGGGAGGTGTCAGGCACAGCAGCAGCACCAAAATCCTCCAAAGCGCTCCCTTGTCCTCAGCAGCGTCCCTGGAGCCACCCATCACGGGTGTCACCCACGGGTGCCACTCCTAGCGAGGTCCTGGCAGCCCTGGGGATCCATTTCTGGCGTTAAAGCCTCAGGGGTTTGGGGTGTGTGTGGAGTGAGGTGTGTGGGATTCCAGGAAAACTCACCTGAGCCACCAGGTGAGGCCAGGGACCACCCCAGCCCCGCAGCCCTGAGTGCTTTACCCCATTTATTCTAGAATTTGGGGCAGGGTGTCACCCCAAAACATGGTGTTTCACCCTCTTTTGCTTGCCTGCAGCAGCAGGAAAAACATGTCACTCCTCTGTCCCCCGCCCACGGGAGCCACCCCATCCCCAGCCCTGATTTTTGGGACAATTCTCTGCTGCCATAACCCAGATTTGCTAATTTTTGATAGAAACTGAGGACAAAAAAAACCCAAAAAACCAACCCGAGAGCAGCCGCAGCCCAAACCCCCCGGCAGGTCTGGGATGGGGCTGCAGCAGGGAAAGGTTTTGGGGTGTCCCTGGTGTGGCTGTGCCCTGTGGGCACCCCGAGCCCCCGTTCCTGCTGAGCCCAGCCCCGAGGGCACCCCGCTTTCCTGGCCCCTCTGCTCCCCACGGCACCCCAACCCAGGGGGCTCACCTCCTCCTGCACCCCCATTTACCTGCACCCCAATTCCCTGCACCCCAGCTCCCCCCTGCTCCCCCTTTTCTCTGCCCCCCCATTTCCCTGAACCCCAATTCCCTGCTCCCCAATTCCCTCCCTGCTCCCCCAATTCTCTGCACCCCATTTCTCTGCTCCCCCAATTCCCCCCAATTCCCTCCCTGCTCCCCCATTTCCCTCTCCCAATTCCCTTTCCCATTTCCCTGCACCCCATTTCCCCAGCTCAGGGAGGGGCTGGGCCGCTCCCGTTCCCCCC